CCCCTTATGAGCTTTCTAATTTATGGAGAGGAATGCACTAGTGTGCCCTTCTCTCCTCTCAAGTACAGGCATGAGCAGCTCCAATAGGTAGCATAAAAGCTCTTTAGCTGTCTAGTGGAGTAGATTACTGGCCCTGCCGTTAAATCCAGCTAGAGACCCCTAAGTGAGCATTATCAGTATGGTGCAGCATGCTGCCTCCTCTCTCTCCCGCTCTCCTTTTTTTTTTCCTCCCCTCGCTCCCTCATCTCTCAGGTACTTTGTACGGCGAAATTTCTCACTGTGTGATGGTAATGGAGAAGGATGGCGTGGAGAGGGAGGGGTCTGAAAGAGCGTTTGAGTGAGAGATGATGCACCGCAGGACGAGATGCCCCTGCAGTAGCGAGAAGGAAAGATTGAGACAGGATGAGATAAAGGGGGAGTGAGGCGGAGGAGAAGATGGAGGTTACACTTTTCACCACCCATAAACGCGCTTATTAATTCACTAAACCTTCCACTTCAAGCTGCAGGTCACTACGAGTTATGGCCGACAGCCTTGTGTAATATTTATTTGACACTGAATGCAACATTAAATCAAACCCCCTAGAGGCGAAATTGATAACCTTTAATGTAGCCGGTGATGCTTTTTAACTTGTGATAATAGTATGTAGCATGTCAGCTCACAGCCTCATTGTTTGCCTTCCATAAAATATTATTCTCTCTGCTAAAAGAAGAAGGTTTTCTATAAGCTGCTACTCCAAAATCAATAGTGCGCTGTAAGGGGTTTTGTTAGAGGAACTCTTATGTAGCTGGAGCGAGAAGGGAGGAGAAAGGGGAGTAAAATGTAGAGCAAGTCTGGGCCCAGGGTACAGATAATTGTTAACCAAAGATTACATAATGGCTAAGTAATGTAAACAGAGAACCACATGCCAAGTTAATGTTCTCACAGGCCAGGATGGAAGGGTTTCGTGCAGCTTTCTGAGGTAATGCTGACAGACTGAGGTGCTACGACTCAGTGTGTGTGTGTGTGTGTCCCTCTACCTCTGTTCATTTTCACCCCAAGGTGCTTTAAACACAGTCAGACATCCTGTCTACGTCCAGTGTGTCATTTCCAAAGGTGTATGGCACCGTTCGGGGCAACCGCCAGGGCTTGTTAAGGGTGTCACAGGAGCTGAGAGGAATGTCATCCTTTGGGCTCTCTGAGGTGCTTGTCACCTGCCAAATCAATATCTCCCTGCTCAGCTCACAGCACCCAGCACACACACACACAAACACACTATAACAGCAATATCCTGGTGGTGATGGAATTGGCAGCTTCACTTGGAAGAGGTGAGCCTTAACATTTGTCTGTGTTTGTGTTACAGAAGTCTCCAGTTTAATGGCTGGCAGGTAGAGGCCAAAGAGGGACAATCAACATGAACTCGATTCCGTCGATGGACAGACACATACAGCAGACCAATGACCGTCTGCAGTGTATCAAACAGGTGAGGAGGTGTTGAAGGTGTTGGCTCTCAGACATTAATATTATATTTCAATTAAAAAACGAAATAAATAAACTGTGATGATGACAACGACAGCGATTAGCATCATCACAAGTTGATATTTAATAACTTTTTCCAATAATTAAGCATCATTATTAATGTATTTGTTATTTTCTTAAATATAAAATGACAGATTTTAAATTATATACTGTAGGCTGTAACTTCATTTGCACATATGTGTGCTTGTGCTATATTTGTTAATGGTTAGTAAATCATCCAGTCGTTTTGTAAATGACTCAGTTCTCATTACCAGGGCCTCGATTACAACCATTTAGTCCAGCGGTTGTAAAACTCTTAATTGTCGCACTAATGAAAATCTCACCCTGCACTCACACACACACAATTTTTACTGACTGCTAACAGTAAAAAAAGGATCCAAGTTGAATGTGAGCAAAATAAAGATCAACACAATAGCATCAGCAAACTCTTGTTTGTTTACTTCTCTAAAAAAAATCACAGCGGTGCCATGCCCCTGCAGTTTGAGAGCTTCTTATTCAGTCTGGTGTGTCAGAGACATACACATCTGTGCAATACTGTGACCTATTCCTTGATTTTGTGACAGGGCCCCTTTTTTTCTGTCTTTTTAAATGTGGGTTAATAAAGGGAAGGGGTGCATTGGAATCCAACATTTTTACTCCGTAGACCCAAAAAGCTGCTAGTGAATATGAAAGTCTATGGTGGGTGAAACAGCACACAAGCAGCAGCCTCCAGCTTCACATTCATGTGATTTACAGCACATCTGTTTATATGCTTTTAAAAACAAGTGTTATACACATCTGTGAAAACTTTATAAACACACTGCACGCTATATTATAAACATTAGCTGCGGTTTTACAGATGAATTACATAAATGGTTTACAAAAGAATTATTAGCCAATAAGTAAACCTCCTGATTATCATGTTGTGGTCTGTTAACAGTAAAGTAGCTTTTTTAATTTGCCATTTATTAACACTGATTATGAAGTTTTATAATTCATTTAAAGCCTTCAGGCTAAAGCATGTTCAGTAAGTTAGTAAGGTACTGGACTTTTTGCTGCTACCGGTGGAAAAACACAAGCAGGGGAAAAAAAAACCCTCACCAGCCCTGTTCACCTTTCCAAGTACACACATGTAGTGAGTCACATCCACGGTGAGACTGCCTCTCTATCTTCCTGTTTGGCCACAGTTAAGTGACTAATCTGTTCAGCTCCTATTATCAGGACTCTGGTGTGACTCAGGTTACCGACTGGGGTCAAAGAGCAGAGGCTCCCCTCCCTCCCCCCGTCATCGCCCTGCTTTCTGCCTCCACCGCTGCTGACTCCCAGCGTGTCCTTTTGTTCTCCTCTCAGCACCATTTACTGCAGGACAAATCTTCGGCAGAATTAGGCAGGCATACTTGTGTAACCCCAGGCTACAGGGATCTTCCTTTGATCTCTTCTCTTAACTGCTGGTCCATTTTGTTTCTGGGCTCTGTGCTGCCAAAGTCCACCTCCTTGAAAAGTGCATCAGAAAGCCTTCGGGGGACAATGTATGGGGGCTTGCACTTAAATGCAAATGTGGACGTGGTAAACTGCTTTATCCCAGCTATCCAAAAATAAGGCAAGGTGAGGCGGATAGAGAGACAAGGCAAGCATTTGGGGAGTAAAAAGAGCGAAGCTTCTCTATGTGTAGAAACAGGCCTTTTGTTCTTAAGTAATAAGGTACAGAGAAAAGGAGAGGTAAACACTCTCTGTCTTCAGTCTGGTTACCTTCTTCACAGCAGGCTATTAAATAATTCAATTTCCCCTCCTTTACTTGTAAGAGGAGAGAAAATTGATTCTATTAAAGCGCTGTATTACTAATAGCAGGTGAATTGGTCTGTAAAGGAAGTTGACAGAACTTGAAAGGGAACCTGTGTTTGTCTGAGAGTAGTTTACACAATCCCAAATGCTGTGGGGTTAAATGTATTGACCCCTCAAGTCAAAAATTTAAACAAATACATCCCAATGTTAGCACCCAGGAAAGCAGCACATGGGTAAACATGCCAATTAGAGAGATCCATGGCGTACAAGGAGGCCTTCAGTCCAACTAATAAATGGTTAAGCGCTGGGTCATTTCAAACCAACCAGTAAGAGCCAGCACCCTGCTAATAGAGGCAGCTTTGTGCCGCAGACAATCAGGGTTTGGAAGGCCCGCATAATAAATACCATTTATGTCCTGCCAATTAGACTAGCAGCGAGCCCATTCAGCCAACCGTCTATTCTCCTCCCCGCACACAAAGATGATCATCAGGGGAGATCAGAACAATTAACTCACTATCTTCTCCCCCTGCTCCCCATTGTCCAATATCCAAGCTATTAAAATAATTAAGGAAATATTGTAAACCAATCCAGCTGTTTGCTTTAATTGAAAGTGTGCACATGCTGAAATTTGGCATCTCGAAGGCAGTACCGACTTGGAGCAGGAATATAAATGAAGCCTCCTCCATTGTGTTGTTGTTTTCTGGGAGATGTGACATGTCTCTCTGAGTACTCCCAGCCAGTGCAGCGGACAGGGGAACAAATTGATTTTGTTGCTCAAATGATAAATTACTGCTGAGCGCGATGATAAAGTGGAGGAAATTGGAATCCGTCAACCTGATTGAATCACGGGTTGAAAGTTAAATCAGAAAATCATTACTGTGGTAATTTTTAAATTACTGTCTTGTTGTAAAATTGCAATAATATGATTTTTAAACAAACTCGACCAAACACTTGGGGGATTTTTTTGTTTCTTTCGTTCTTTTCTTTTGCCACATTGCGCTAAATCTGACTTTAAAATGAGTGACTTTGTTTTGGTTTCAGGTTATGCAGTTAATGGGAAAGATAAGGGACTAATTAATAGGTTGGCAGACAGAAATTTGCTCAGCAAGACTGAATATTTGTTTTGGTTATTATTTATTAAGGAGAATTTAAGAAAACAGCTTCCAGATGTGAGAATTTGCCTGTTTCGGGTCTTGTGGTTACAAAGACAAAATGCTTGAGATGTTGGTACAGTATAACCCTAGAATATAAATATATATATATATATCTGTATTTATTCGAAAGTGATACAGAAAAACAAATGTTCGCCTGTTTAACCTCCAAACAGACAAGTATGCTTAAAAAGTGATTTATAAAAACAGTTATCTGATTTTTCCCCCAACACGTTTTTTCTCAGAGCCTGTTTGTTTTCCTCCTGCATCTCAGAACTGCACCATTGCGAGCACTTTGGGGAAGATGGCTTGCCTGATAATGTTGGTATCTATTTCAGAGACAGTATTTTCCTCTCACGGTGGGGAAGCCAGTTTTCTGTCAGACTCTCCTTTCGCTGATACATACAGGGGTTCGCCAGAAACTATGAACCATCCTCTCGCCGCAGGAACACTTCCTCACATTCTTAGCGGCGATATTTCAAGACAAACTGGAGGACTGTCCTCTTTGCACCGCTCCTACACTGCTTGTGCAGCTGTTTCTGTCTGCCGCTGTGTTCTTTCCAGTGTTAATTGTCTCCATTAACGTGTTTTCAGTGCTCTGGGGGTGTCGATGAATGTAGAGCAACAACAGCAGCAAACTAAGAACTGTGATTCTGAATGGAAAGAGTCTTTGCCCGATCACTTCTGATACATAAATGAAGTTATATCCAGATCCAGTTGTGTCAGAAGAAAAAAGCTATGTTCTCAGGACTCTGCAAGTGCCGTCTCTCTTTGTTTCCCTTGAACTGAACCGAGCATTAACAAGAGTGTACGTGTTGGAGGATCATTCTTACCCAGGGGACGGGGATAGGAGAGTGTGAGAGGGTCTCTTGGCCACTAGTTTAGGTTTGATTGGTGGGTTTTGGCCAGAGAAAGGGGAACATCTGTGGCGTGGTAGTGCCAAGCTCTCCGTGTGACAGCCACACTGGTGGGACCAATTGTTCTGAGTGCAAAGAACAGTAATCACTTCAAGCCCAAGTGGTGGTGTGTATTTTTTTTCTTCCCTCTACATATTGTCCCTCCCTCCCCCTTTTCTCCCTTTTTCCATCCTTGGTGCACTGATTGCGTGTGTTGTCTAGCTTCCAGACTCATCTAAATTTAGCATCTGGGGATGTGTGTGCTTCTCCAGGAGACTTTTTATCCACCAGTAGAATTTGAATGCTCTGCTACCCCACCACATCTCCTTTTAGTCTCCCCCAACAAAGACATATCACAAGAGTGGGGAACGGTCTTGGACAGAGTATGAAATAAACAAGACTGGTTTCATCCACTGCTTGTCAAACACCAGCTTTGTAAATTGATATGAAAGCAGCCTTATCAAATCCTAACCTCTGCTGCCCCCTAAAGAGCAAGCAAGAAAAAAGCACTGCACAGCAGTGACTGTACCCCTGTCACTTCCTCTTCTTCTTCTCTCTCTGACAGTGAAATCAAAGCACGCCGACGTATTAGGAAGGCAGCCATTCACTTTAAGCTGACAAACCGCTCTATTTACCTTTGATGCCATGGAGTGGGAGTCCATTTGTTCCTGTTTTGTACAAGTGCACTACAAAAGCTTGTGTGCATAATCTTTCCAAAGGCAACAGATTACAGCAGAGTGGTGGTGGTGGTGCATCTGCTCTGCTATGTATAAAGTGATTTGTATTGTGGTTCGAAAGCTTTTAGAGGAGAAATGACCAACAGTAAGGTTGATACGGAGACCCAGAGAGGTCCTTTTTCAGTTTTCTGTGCTGCTCTACAGCAATACAGACAATGCAGGTTAGTGCTGGCTGCAGGAGGGGAACGAATGCCATAAAAGGGTGTCCGTAGGTCAAGGAGTTTGTTGTCAGATAAAGTCAGAGAACAGCCAAGGGTTGGCTACTGAAATAGGGCTTCCTCGTGGATTCATGCAGCCATACAAGGAAGATTTATTGCAACAGAAACCTGAGATAGTAGCTGAGTGGAACTGGGACATACTATCAGCCTAGAGCGGTCATATTTTAACCCATTTAAAATAATTAATCCAAAGCATCATAAGCAAAATTTCAGAACATTTGGTCATAAAAATGCTGTTCTCATTTGCTCAACTCCGAGAGCTCATAATTAAAAGTTAAATATTAAAAGCTGGTTAGATTTTTTTTTCAGAGCAGGTGGGAAAACATGTAACTGCACACATTTTAGACGAGCAAATGCTTTTATTGAATTCTAATAAGATAATACATTTTATTAATGACTAAATAAACATAGAGGACAGCACAAATTAATTACAATTTTTTATTGTCATGCTTCTATTTCAAGCATAACATCTTATTTGTTTTATTGTTTTGTTTAATGCTTATTACTTACAGCAGTTACCCGTTATCTGTCCCATTTTCTTCAAGTATTTGAATATTACTGGAATCACATTGATTTCCATCTTTCTCCTCTTCTGCATAGCACCTACAAAATCCAGCAAATTTCCAAACAGCAGCCACAGAGCTGCTGGACTGGTGTGGTGACCCCAGAGCCTTCCAGCGCCCCTTCGAGCAAAGCCTGATGGGATGCCTAACGGTAAGTCACCAGTCGTGAGCACCTTCCATAATCTCATGTTCAGAGTTTCAAGAATGAGCCGCTTGAACAACTGCTGCACTCTTTCCATAACCTCCTCAGGGATGCAAGAATACTCATGTTTAGCCTGGTGATCATCCGTGAGGTCACTGAAAATGTAAAATGTGTTTAACCTTGTAGAAACTGCTCCCATTTAGCCACCTTTCTGTTGCTTTAGTTCCAGCCTTTGATATAAAATCCACAAGGTCAAAAACATTCGCAAACCACAAAGCAATCAGCTCTCAATCTTCTCAGTCTTCTGTGTCTTTACCAAATGCCTATGGATTTTTGATTGATTGAATAATTACTGTCCTATGACATCTGAAATTAAGGCTTCTGGAGAAAACATTTAGCCCAAAGTAGTCAGGGTTTGTATATTTTCAACTAAATTTAATCAGACACAGCCAATATGTCAAGAGCTAAGTTCTTAACCCTGACTGAATATTGTTTATACTAGTGAGTTTAATGTTCACTTAATAAAATGCTCCACTGGGAATAATAGCTTAATCTTGAATTGGAAGTTAGCAATTAATTTTTTGAACAACTACATAGTCGTTTATTGCTATGACCCTTAGCCAGTTAGCAAGTGTAGCTCTATATGATAATGGTAAACTGATATAGTAGACTAATTTCTCTTGAAAAATTGTCCATTTAGCTATATGTGGTGTTTATTTGTTTTTGTTTTGTTTTGCATTACATATAGAATTTGAAAGATAAACTTAACACACTGCTTACACAGCCTGTTTACTTTGTAATATGCGGCACTTATCTATGCTAGCTTAGATGTGTGAGGAACAACTACCAGAGCTAACGCTATATATACATATATATATATATATGAACCATACGAGGCAAATGCGTAGGCAGATTTGTGCTATGTGAAATTTCACTTGAAAGTTTTTGTTTTTATGACATTTTGCCACCATTAAAACCAGTATAATTATAGCTGTCCATGCCACGTTTTAACCAACATTCACCATTGACTATTACAAAAACCTTTAATGCTCAGAGCTGATGCACTGATTCCAAATTTAGCTAATCAAGTACCAAGAGAAAGAACAGCCAAAAGAACAGTGAATAGACAGTGGGTGTGTCAATCACCTGTCACAGTGGGCCTGACTGTGCTTTAACATGCTGCCTCCAGCATTACATAACAGACACACCTGTTAGGTGTAATTTGTATCCCCATCAAGCGAGCTCGGCTGCAGCAGGTGAAGAAGCCCGAGAGGTTTGTGCTTGTGGACCTCAGCGAAACTACTGTGACACGTCCTTCCATTCAAGCGATTGTGTTCCTGCTTTAATGTGCAGCAGCAGGTGCCTTCTCCTCCATTTCGCCACTTCAATTTGTTTCCCGCCGTGAAAATCTCAGAGCTTTTCCTTTTAGTTTATAGGTTGTGTAAACCTGGGTGTGAACCACACTGGGAGGAAGCACAGAGAATCTGATGTGATTGTGAAATTACCTGGTCACAGACTTTAATGGTAAACACTTTACAGTTTTGCCTGCATGCTTGCACTTAAACACTGGTGATAGCATTTGTAGAAATTTGCTGCTGTACCAGTGAGAAAAAAACCCCCAGGAAATTACAGGACTTTAAAAAAAAAAAATAAACAACTTAATAAGGTAATACAGTATTCAAAACAGGAGATGGGTACTCAAAACTAGTCTTTTAATTCATCTCAATGTAAGAGTTAATAAGGCTTTTTATGTTTAATTATGACTGGAGCTTCTGTTGGATGTTGAATTGCTTTTTCTTGAAAAAAAACAACAAATCAATTAAGCTATCATGTTATAACTCTAAAATCGTATTTTTAATGACAATATATAGCATTCATGTATGACGCAGTATTGATTTTTTAAGCTTGTTTCAAGTTGATTAATCTCCAAAATATTTACGAGGGGAAAAAACAAGCAAATTTAACAAAAAGATTCATTTTATCGAGCTTGAAACTACAGAAAAATGTACAGCTGAGTAGCAAGTCCCTGCTTTCAAGCCTTGCAGGGCCTGCTTAGATGATTGCCTTATGGTAGACAGTTCACCACAACTCCTCAGACTGTGTACAATTAAAGTCCTGAAATTAGAACTGTAACTTCTTACACTAAAAATACCATTTAAATGTCCCTCGCAAGTTTAGATTCTAATTAGGCAGCCTGTACTCTATATTTCTTCTTCTTAATGGGGGATTCCCATAAATAAAGGCCAGATATACATAATCTGTTTTGGTGTCACGTCCAGACTATACTTACAGAAGATAATGATACGGTCCCAGCAGCAGTGCTACCTCAGGGCTTGTACTGAAGTTTGGCGTGTGACAGCGGGATCGCTGCTATGAAAAGCCAGGCAGCGAGGGGAATCTAGTGGGGCCCGTTGGTCCACACAGACCTTAGTATGTCCTAAAGGTCTAAACGATTTGAGTGGCTCTTTTTGAGCTGATAATGATGACAGCAAATCAAAGCAACATGTGGGATGTAAGGGTGATTTACACGGCCTCCTGTGGCATGTTGATGCTTCCCCTTAATGTTTCCTCTCAGTCGGCATCTCTGGACTGGAGGCAGTATTTTTTTCCTCATCTTGCTGTCCACTTACTCATATGGAACTGATAAACTTGTAATGAGGTTGTCCTTTAACAGTCAGATTGTGGGAAAAGTCGTCATGTGGTGGATTTAACTACCCAGCACAGTTCTGTATTGAGTAGATACGGATGCAGTCGTACAGCTTTGCGAGTGTCTGTCATTAGTTTGCAGGATTTTCAAGATTCAATTGTGGAAATTTTAGGAGAAGGAGCGAAAGAACTGAGCAGATTATGATGGCGATCTGCAATATTTATCATGAAAACAAAGCTTGTTGCCATCAGCTGCTGCACTGGAGTGAGTAAAAGGAGGCGTGTGCATGAGGCCGTGATGCTCGCTCTGTATGTGGATGTCAAAGCAAATGGCGCTGCAGATGGTAAATCAAAAATGTAAACATTTTCTGTTTGGAAAATAAGCACATTAGAATGTTTGTGTGGGCTTGGAACAAGTGAGGAAATTTCTCATAGTTGCCCCCACTGTTATTCAGCTGGCCTTTTTAGGAACTCCCTGCTAGAGACAAAGGGAAATATTGAGTTTATGCAAATTTCCCAAAATCTGCTCTTAAAATGTTGTTTGTGAGCTGGAAATATAATGAAACAGCCGTAATGTCCCTATTCAGCACTGTATGCTGACCTCTGCTCTCTTCTGTTGACCTATATGTAGGTGTAAGCTATCATAATGCTTAGAAAGTGACGTTTTCTGAGAAATAAAAGAGGTTTAGACTTGGTGTCGTTCAGCTTTTTCTTCAGAGAAAACATACCTCAGGCCATACTGACTCTGTGCTGCATGCTGTTGTTGTTTTCAGGTGGTTAGCCGCGTAGCAGCGCAGCAGGGCTTTGACTTGGACCTGGGCTATCGGCTCCTGGCTGTGTGCGCTGCCAACAGGGACAAGTTCACTCCAAAATCAGCAGGTAAGACCGGAGTTTTCTCAACCGCCGTCTCAGGCCATCTGGCCATGCTGGCCCGCTCAAGTTTATTTCTGCATTCTTTGCCGCTTTTCCTCCACTTATTGCTTCTAGACTAGATCCCCTCACAGATGTATGGGCACTGATCTTTTTAAATTCATTCCTTTAACTCTTGACTATTTATGACTTTTAAGATTAAACAAGACCAACAGTTCAATATTCAATATAAAGAGCAATCCAAGAAAATCCCTTCATAGTTTTAGTCCAGGTTCAACTGAACATTACCCTTTAATATCTACTTGACCTGTTTTCTTTGAACTTGTTCACAACATTGGGAACTACAACTCAATTTGTTACCTTTTCTGCTGTTTTAGATAAAGTGCGTACAGCAGAATATTCCATTTGTCACATGCGACAAGAACTACTGTATCAGTGATGACGAGTTCCTGTTTTCATACGCCTCTATCATCCCGGTCCTGTGATGGATTATTGGAGCAGATGCAGACTGCTAAATGTTGTTATCGAGCTGGCAAAAGCATGCTGAAGCACAATGAGAATGAAGACGCATAGGCTGTCAGCAGCTCAGAGGAGATAACAGAAATATTTTTGTGCTGTTTTACAGTTTGTGATTTGTGGTTTCCACCTGTCTTGGGTTACGGGGAAAGCTGGGTCGTGCATTTGCTTCTGTGTGCTCGGCCGCTACACTGAGCCCTCTTAAGTGTGCCAGGACATGAAAGTCAGAGGCACATATTGTTTGAATTTTCACTCATGTTTGCCTTTTTTCTATTATAAGAGGCTTCAAATCATGCAATGTCACTATTATGTCGGCATGGGTGGGGAATCCTTCCCTGCCTGCAGTTAACTCACATCGCCAAATGTTCTAATTCTACTTAATGCTAAATCAAATCTCAGGGCCTACTTTATGGGCTTAGATAAAATTGCCAATTGATTCTCTGTCTGAATAATTTCCTGCAACAGTAGTCATTTGGAAAGCAGCAAGTTCTCGAGTCTAGGCAGCATCCCAAAGTACATTTCATGGACAATTATGTACCTGTAAATGCATGAATATTTCCAGAGGAGAGGCCTGCAGAGAGGTAGAGAGAGCAGTGGAAACCAATGCAGAGGCATTCTCCTGCAAAGCTCCCAGGTCCTTTAGAGAGGAGGCCTGAGTCAAGGAGGGTGTTAAAGTGGAGAGAATACCCTATCTGGCAGCCAGGGGAGATAGCTCTTAAAAGACACACCCACGGGGCCCCAGGGAGGACCTGCTCCCCGACATCCTGCAGCGGTGTTGCTGAGCGACAAACGAAGGGAGTAAGTCACATGACGGGGGCCAGAGTGGCAACAGCGGGGTCAGCCATACAAGACCAAAGACAGACAAGTTAGTGTATGCAGAGGAGACTTTGGGAAGCCTTGAACAGCTGAGAACAAATCTGAAAAGATTTTATGTGTTGAGAGGATATGAGGAAGAGCTGAAATGAATATAGTCTCCTGTGTTTTTGCAGAATTGTGTCCCTGGAGGTGAATGTTCATTTTGTACTGAGGGTGTTTTATAAATTCTCTGCACTGTTTTTTTTATATATATATACAAAACAACCTGTCTACACCAAGCCCCGAGAGCTTTCAAGGAATATCCTGTAACTGCTGGCCTGCTCAGTCTCATCATGCATTTTGTAATCTGCTCTGAAATGTCTCCGTTAAAAGTGGGCGAAAAACACGACTTTTGGTGGTTACGAGCTGGGCTGTTTGCCTCAGAAAACATCAGGTCAGCGGATGAGTGCTAATAAGTAAATCAGATTTGGCATCCCATTTTAACCAGACCTAACTTGTCTTGGCTCTGACGCACGGCGCGGTCAAGCTATTACATTTCTGTTATGTCATCTAAAATTCCTCTCCTGAACATGTTCGAAAATTGAGCGGAAGGGGAGGCTGAGCTGATTTCAGCAGTAGGAAATCAATGTTCACAGTCAGCTTACAGCTGAAATAGGTTGTAGCTTTGACAAATTGATTAATCATGAAATGCCTCCAACAATTTAAGGCATTAGTTTGTTCTTTTTTTTTCCATCTAAGGAAAAAAAAAAGCTTAGGAAGGCAAAGCGCTAAAGAAATAGACCTTTATCTTCATGACACCTGAGCAAAACTTAGCTATAATATCCTATTGATTTCAAAATGTAGCTGTATAAGAAGTTTAGACAATGTTTGTTAGATATTGTAAAACTATCCAGCAGACTGGAATTGGAAAACCCATCATGCAGTGTGATTTTTGTGAGTTGATCTCTGTAATGGATGGACTCAGGGGGGTTGTCCGGTTGTAGTTCTTTTCCCTTTGTGGCCCACAGTGTTGGAACAGATCTGGGGGAGGGGCGTCTGTCTGCTAGTAGTGACCTCTTTGTCAATGGGATTAGCCTGCTCTATTAATCTGTGATTACTCGGACTGTCTTACTGCAGGGCAAAGCGATGCACGTGGAGCTCTGAGGACTTCAAAGCAAAGACATCACTTGCTCAGTCTGCAAAAACTCATCAGGGCCTCACCTCTCCCCTTCTCCATCCACAGGGTACATTACAAGCCCCGTTAGGCCTGTTTCATCAGCGTCACCGGCGGTTCATTCCGGTTCGAGAGCCTCTGCAAAATGCTTAATGACGATTTTTCCTGCAAGAGAGACAGAGTGGCACATTCCCAATCGTTTGCGCTTCAGCAAACTTTGGGAATTCCTCAGCTCTAAAGAGTGAAAGGAGGTTCCAGCTGAAGTTTTTCAGCCCCTGAAGCTTTTCATTCTCTCATGTAACAAACGCCTGGTGAACTAGCTATTCAGCAGATAATTAGTTGGGCTTGTTACACTCATTTTTACACCTTTTTGCCAGGCTGTTTTTCAAGTACGATCAGTAGACATTGCTGGTTTTAGTTATTAGTGTCAGCTTGATATAGAAAAAAATATCCAAGCAATTTTTGCTTTTGTTTCATCGTGTTTAAAATCAAAAGGTGGTTTCCCAGTTTTTTAATCGGTTCAAGCATAAACAAGCAGGAGACAGTGTAGGAGGGGTGTTGGGTTTGTTTGCTAAAGACAAGGAAATGTGGCCACGTGTAGAAAAGTCAAAGCTCTGTTTACATTTTCTATCACAATTTGTAAGTCAAGTCAGTTTTATAGGAAATAATGTAAACTTGGCTTGAAAAAGCAAAAACCTTCAAGTCAAATGAGTTCAAAAGTTTGCAAGTCTTGCCCCCCAAAGCTGTGTTGCAAGAGTTAAATGAAAAGGGGAGGATAATACTGATGCAAGGAATGTAACTTATTTCAAGTGAACTTTGTTTTTTAAATGGAAATTCCCCTGAATGGGATATTCTTTTCAAAGAACAAAGATGAAGATAGACAAAGCTAAGGTTAAAATGAACATGTCTAAGACTTTTATCCTAAGTACTGACTTGGTTGAATTCCTTTGTATTCTTGGGTGCATGTGTAAATTTCCTTTAAAACTGTCGTTTCAAGTGCTGATCATTCAGCGGCTTATGCCTTCCAGTTAAGTGGTGCTTAAGATGAGGTCAGATATGTTGTTGGTGAGCTGTGGAAAGGTCTCAGTTTCTACACATAATAGGGAAGTTGAATATACACATGCCTTTCTGCAGGGCTATAATTTCTACTCTTGGAGCTTTTCACACCAAAATATTTTTTTCTGTCTCCTTTCGCTCAACGGGTTTCAACATATAGTTTAGCTGTGGCTTTTCCTAAATGGAGATTAACACAGAAGGCTAAAAACATTGTTGGTGACCTTGTATGACTCAGAGGTTAATGGGTTAAATGAATCCAACTAAGCAACCAACAATCTATCCAATTAAGATCACTGGTTGGCAGCACGGTGGCACGGTGGTTAGCACTATTGCTGCACAGCAAGAAGGTCCTGAGTTCAATTCCACCACAGCAGGCCGTGGTCTTTCTGTGTGGAGTTTGCATCTTCTCCCTGTGTTTGTGTGGGTTCCCTCCGGGTACTCTGGCTTCCTCCCACCGTCCAAAGACATGCAGTTTGTGGGGATAGGTTAATTGATTAATCCAAATTGCCCACGAATGGTTGTCTGTCCCTGTGACAGACTGGCGACCTGTCCAGGGTGTACCCTGCCTCTTGCCCTATGACAGCTGGGATAAGCTCCAGAAAAAATAGACCCTGAAAAAGGATAAGCGAATGGATGGATGGTTAATCAAACTGAGATGTCAATTCAAGAAACAATTGGTGGCTTTATTTCAGGGTCTTGGTGGAGCTAAAAAGCTGCTTAAATGAGCTTCTGCAAAAAATAAAAAATGTTTTTCATTATTACAAATATGAATAATATCTTGATAATAAATATGATTTCAAATAATTCAATTCAATTCAACTTTATTTATCTTGCGCCAAATCACAACAAAAGTCGCCTCAGGGCGCTTCATAGGTACAGAGAAAAACTCAACAATCATATGACCCCCTATGAGCAAGCACTTTGGCGACAGTGGGAAGGAAAAACTCCCTTTTAACAGGAAGAAACCTCCGGGAGAACCAGGCTCACGGAGGGGCGGCCATCTGCTGCGACCGGTTGGGGTGAGAGAAGCAAAACAGGATAAAGACATGCTGTGGAAGAGAGACCGAGGTTAATAACAGATATGATTCAATGCAGAGAGGTCTATTAATACATAGTGAGTGAGAAAGGTGACTGGAAAGGAAATACTCAATGCATCATGGGAATCCCCGGCAGCCTACGTCTATTGCAGCATAACTAAGGGAGGATTCAGGGTCACCTGGTCCAGCCCTAACTATATGCTTTAGCAAAAAGGAAAGTTTTAAATAACACTTATATACTTTAATTTTTCTTAAAAGAAATCTGATTCTGCCGTTGAAATGACAGGAGCCTGCTAATACTTGCTGAATAGTTGCTTGACGATACATGCGCTGTCAGTGGCACGAGTTTTCAAACAATAACAATTGTTAGAAGCATGTTTCATGAATGAAGTTGTGCTGCGTTCTTTTTCATTTGGAAGTCAGATCTTGGC